CGAAGAATTTTTAGCAACTTGGTTGGACGGAATAAGATTGATTCAATCTGTGAATAAGAAGAGGAAACAAACACGTACACAACCATGCACAGTGTGCCTTAAAACACTATCCAGTTCACAAAATTTAATAGATGTTTTAAAAGAAGCAAATTATATTCTACTGTGATAATTTCGTTTTATGAAAATTCTTCTTTATACCAGGTGATATTAATATCCACTCCCCTATTTTATAGTAAAATAATATTTTAACTAAAATTTAGTGTTAGGGCGCAATTTAATTTTAGATATAATGGTCCAAATTTTAGGTTATACGAGGTTTTTAGGGGTTCCGAACATTTTTACTTAGTGCGCCTGACCCCTGTTTCTTAGTCAATTTTTTGAGATATAGCACCCTGGATATCAATATCCCCTGGTAAAAATTATAAATATTCTTTATAAGTTTAAAATTCATATGCAATTAAAGAGCATTAAAGTCTATGGATTAATTCAGAAGAAAGCCACAAACGAGTATATGTTGTTATTTAATGAATTTTATGAAAGAAATAAGGGTAATGGAAAATGTGCAAATTGTGATCAATATAACAATCTTCAGCCTAGTGTCAGACACGTGACCCTCAAAAAAATAGCACAAGGATGGGCAAGTGGTGACGATAATTGCAATAAAGAAATTCAACTTAAGACCACATCTTATAAAAAGATAATCGAATGGATTCCTTTTGATAGATTGGGAAACATTCGAAATATTGGAATGAATCATTAGCAACCTGGTTAGATGGTTTACCATCAATTCTTATAGGGAGGAAAAAAACACGTACAGATAAGTTTTCGGTGGACCTTAAAATATATTTGATTCTCAGAATGTATCAAATGTTTTAAGTGAGGTAAGTTTATATACTGTAGTTTACCGTTAAATTTGCTATTATATTGACAATATGTGGAAATTTATTATTAACTTTCATAAAAGTTTACAAGTTTAAAAGTTATATGCAATTAGCGAGTAGTAGAGTTTATGGATTAACTAAAAATCCTGCCACAAATGATTATATAGTGGTGTATGTTAAATACACTTCTAAAAGACATATTTCAAATGGAAGATGTGCAGAGTGTAATCGATATAATACATCTCCTGCTTGGTGTCAAGTATGTGACCCTCAAAAAATAGTTGAAGGATGGACAGGCGGAAACGAGGGAATTGATAATTTTATTAAAGAAATTCAAAATAAAGCCCAGAGTATAATAATGTAATTCAATGGATTCCTTATAATAGATTTTATAATGTTCGAAAACTTGGTGATAAATTTCTAGCAAACTGGTTAGGTAATTATTGGATGCAGCGCGGGACGTAACTGTAGATAGTGTGTAGACATTAAAGTATTACATGGTTCTCAAAATTCATTAGAATTTTTAGGAGAATTACTATGTATAGTTGTTTAGTTAATATAGATTCTATTTAATTATTATAAGGTTGAAAATTAAAAAATAAATTCAAAATACATGGACTAACTCAAGATCCAGAAACAAAGAATTATATGTTGGTATATGATGAATTTAATTGTAAAAGAGATAAGGATAACGGAACATGTTTAAAATGCAACAGAAATAATACTTCTCCAGCTTGGTGTCAGACATGTGTCCCTGGAAAATGATTCATGGATGGGCAAGTGGAAAAGAGGAAGTTGATAATTACATTAAAAAATTTCAACTTAATGCCACATCTCATGAGAACGTGATTGAGTGGATTTCTTTTGATAAGTTATACAACATTTGAGTAAAGTGGTGATAGATTTTTAGCCATTTAGTTAGCATTATCGATTTCATGTAATAAGATGACACGAAAATCATGCATGATTGAACTTAAAACATTTCGTAATTCTCAAAATTCATTAGATTTTCTAAAGGTTGTAAGTTGATTTTTGTTTTACTATTTACCGTATATAATATTGTCTCAAATGTATGCATATTTAATTCTATTTATTTATTATGTAAGTTTAAAGATTACATAGAATTAGCGAAATTAAAAAAATAGCGAACTTAAATATATGTATTAACTCAAAACCTGCTACAAATGAATTTATGATGGTATTTATGTCTAAAAGGTATGCAAATTATGGAACATGCGCAAATTGCAAACAATATAAATCTCCAGCATGGTGCCAGTCTTATGACCCTCAAAGATAGCTCAAGTGGTGATGAGGAAATTGATAATTACATTAAAGGGCTTCAACTTAGTGCCACATCATACGACAATGTGATCGATAGATTAGGTAATGTTCAACAAAATTGTGAAAGATTATTAGCAAAATGGTTCGATGGTGAACGAACAGTTTTACCGGAAAAGAATGAATATATACAAACACGTATAATAAACTTTACAATGGACCTTAAAATATTGCCTGGTTTACGGAATTTATCAAATGAGGTGAGTTGTATAATTTATTAGTCAAATTTAATTTTCATTTATATTACAAGTTTAATAATCATGTACAATTAAAAGGTAAAATATATGGATCAACTCGAAACATTAACACAAATGAATATATGTTAGTGTTTGATGAATTTTTATTGAGAATAATGGGAAATGAACAAACTGTAACCGATATAACACATCTCCAGCATGGTGCCAGACTTGTGACCCCCAAAACAGCTCAGGAATGGACAAGTGGTATTAAGGAAATTGATGATTGTATTAAAGAATTGCCACATTTTACGAGAATGTGATTGAGTAGATCCCTTCTGATAGATTAGATATTCAGAAAAATGGTAAAAGATCATTAGCAAAATGGTTAGATGGTATACGAAACTATTGCCTGGTTTAAGTGAGGCGAGTTTAGATTATTTTTTGCAATGTTATTTGATTTTAATTAATAATATAGACTAAATTCCGTTCGTTTAAGTTTAAAAAATCTCATGCTATCGAATAATAGTGAACTTCAAAAGCTTGGTGTTATACATGTGACCTCAGCGACCACAGAAGTGGAAAAGCGGCAATAAGGGGTATTAATTCTTATATTAAAGAATGTCAACTTAAAGCTAAAGAATTGAAATGTAATTGAGTAGATCCCTTTTATTAAATTAGATAACGTCCAAAATTTTAATGATCAGTCCTTAGCAATGGTAGACGAAAAACACACAGAAACGTACATTACTATGCACGGTGGATCTTAAAATATTACGCTGTTCAAAAATTTATTAGATTTTTAAAAAGAAAGTATATCATTAAATAATGGTAAAGTATATGGTCTAATTCATAACATAGCCACAGAGGATTATATGCTAGTATTTGATGAATTTTATTATAAAAGAAATGAGAATAATGGAAAGTGTGCAAACTGTGAATGACATAATACTTCTCTAGCTTGGTGTCAGACATGTGATTCTTATAGAGGATGGACAAGTGGAATAACAACATTGATGATTGGATTAAAAATTTTCAACTTAAGGCCACAGAATACGAGAATGTGACCGAATGGATTCCTTTTAATAAATTAGACGATGTTATGAAAATTGGTGAAGGGGGATTTGGCTCAGTGTATTCAGCAAAGTGGATAGACGGTAAAAGAAAGGTTTCAGGTAAATACACGCAGTCACACACACCATCATGCATGGCTGCACTCAAAACGTTACCTGGTTCACAAAATAATTTTAAGAGAAGTTAAATAGTTTAATTATTATTTATCATAATATACTGTAAATAATTGTTAATATTACAAATTTTATTTGCACAACTAACAATGAATATTTGATGGTGTTTGAATATGCAAATAAAGGAAAACTTAATTGGAAATGTAAATTAAAGCAACTCGCCAATATATCCGAAAATTTGGCAAAAATTCATAAAGCAGGATATATTCAGGATATATTCATAAATACCTTCACAGGGGTAATATATTGCAAAATCAATATGTTAATGGAGACCTAATATCTTATATCACAGAACTAGGATTATCGAGAAAAAAAACTGATTCAGAAGATAGCATTTACGGCGTTTTACCTTACATCGCACCAGAAGTGTTAAGTGAACTATCTATACAACAGCAGCGGACATTTATAGTTTTGGTATTATTATTACTGAAATGTCTAATGGAAGACCATCTCATTACAATTAAGTATGATAAAGCGTTAGTTGTGATGGATTACACCCTGATTTTGCCAAAAATACTCCTGAGTGCTATATCCAATTAGCAATCAATTTATGGATGCTATGATCCTTCTAATAGACCATCTGTATCTGATATTTATTATAAATTATTGAGATGGGTGGATCACAAATACTTTGATCATTGTAATCTAATCTGAACCTAGCTAGGGTAAATAAAAATTCGAATAATTTATCGGATAGTGTTTTACTGTAAACCTCAGTATAAGAAAATGTAATGAATGCAGCCAAGGGAAGGGGTTTAGGTATTAAGTATTGTTCAATGAACTTAATTTAAACATGACTGACGAATCGCTAAAAAAAACACCGGGAAAAATGAATATGATAATGATGTGTTCACAAGCCCGCCAACCGCGATAAGTGCGCATACAGACCCACATATACCATTTATTAAAATAATAAGATCACTAGATGTCCAGGAAACTGAAGTTCTTAAATACCACTTTGTGTATGAATTATTACCGATAAAATCATCAATATTAGTACTTGGGGAGGCAGTTTTATTAATATTAAATAAAATTCCACTTTTTAGTCCAAGTTTAATTGATTCAGTGACTCTTAAATCATAAGCAAAAAAGATTTGTATTTGGGAATAAATCAAATTGCTAAATACATTAACTGCGACTGAATTACCAAAGTTATTTGATAAATCAATAATGAGTATTCTTTGGCATAATCGTGTGTGGTGAAACCTCCTACGAGAAAACTAATATTTATTCGTTTTACTCTGGACAATGAAGTAAGCAATGAGAACAGGAGATTCTCGGCAATGGATTCTATAAATCAAAATGATAAATAAAATTTCAAAAAATTTCTACAATATTCATGTCTACTTACAGATTTTTTACATTTCTTCTTGGTGGCGAACCAATACTGTAGTTGAATCTTCTTTTACGAGTATTATAACCATGATTGCTTCCAGTATTATCATGGCTGTTAAGATGGTTTCCGGAGGTGTTTCTACGGATCCTAGATATGTTACGACGGCTTCCATTATGGTTGTTACTACAGTTTTCAGAATTGTTATTGTGGTCACTTAAATCAAGTTCATGGTGATGGTGTTCTTCGGGGGCCTCTGATTGGTCTGAAGGATTCTCACCGTCGAGATCAGTACTGAGATCGTTGTTGGAGCCGGAATTCTCAAGGTCATGATTATTATTACCATTAATATGGTTATTATTATCAATGTTATTTGGATGATTGTCAACATTAATGAGATCGTTGTTGTCGTCAGAATTCTCAAGGTATCACTGTTTTGTTCATCATTATTAACATTATTCTGGGGATTCGTATGACTAGGATCAATACCGAGATTGTCATTGCTACTTGAATTCTCAAGGCTATTATCACCGTTTTGTTCATAATTATCAACATTCATATGATTAGGGTCAATACCGAGATCGTCATTGCTACTCTCAAGGTTATTATCACCGTTTTGTTCATAATTATCAACATGATTCTTGGGATTTGAATGATCAGGATCAATACTGAGATCATTATTGCTACTTGAGTTTTCAAGATTATTATCACCGTTTTGTTCATAATTTTCAATGTCATTATTATTTAATGCATTTTGGTTATCCTGACCATTATGTTCACTGGGGACTTCGTAATTAAAAAAATTCTCATCATCGGGATCGGTACTATGTTCGTTGGAATTTTTGTGATTTGTGGTTATTATAATTCTGGTTTTTAAAATTATCATGATGGTCATTAAAATTTTTACATTACCTATAATGTTTTGAATTTCTTTTTTTTTTGAATTAATTCTTTGTTCAACTTCATTAAACATTCCACAGATACGTTCCCATTCGATTTCATCGTTTTTAAGGTCTTCTCTCTAAAAGAAATAATGAATTATTATTATGCCTCTATGTATACAATTATTATGTGAATTTTATGCTTGCAATGTTTTGCTCCTTTATAATATCACTCCAATAAATTTTTATCTCAGCCTATTGTTGGTAAGCAATAATTTAATTAATTACATTATTCAATAATAAAATGACACATGTTAAATATGGTAATAGAATAAAATTCTACCTTATTTTCATTATTCATTAAAGACTCATAAACATTTTGGCTTAGAAAAGACTTGGCTTCCTTTGTAAAGGAAAACGACCAGGCGTTATTAAAGCCATTCCAGGTAGATAAATGAACTGGGAGAGAAGAAACTATGGAATTCCGGTTGCACATAAGAAAATCAATGTAAGAATATTTTGATTTTCTTTCTTGGAGGTATTCAACAATTTCTATAAACAATTACATGAATATTTGTATGGCAAAAAATGCAAAAAAAAAAGATTTTAGGTTAAATAAAACATACTTTCTCTGTTAACGTACGTGTTCATCTTTAAATTGTATTTCAAAAAAAGAAAACAATGGTTTTTATACAGACCTGTACATTGATCAGCCGATCAAACGTGTGCCTTGTGGCGCAGTTTTCCTTAATTATGGTGCTCCATCAATCAAGTTTGATATTACAAAAACTAGGCGCTTGAGATGCTTAAAAGGAGTTGGAGATGAGTGCAATATACAGTAAACCCTTCAAAAACGCATGTCTTTGGATTAAAATTTAGTGTCATGTAGTCAGAGAATAATTAAAAGAACAGCAGAAGTTGTTTCGATAGGTTAAAATTTGAATAAATATGACTAGGAGGGAGTTTTACGTAGTGTGTGTTAGTATATTTGGTATGTCAATCGGAAAATCGTAGTTATGGATATAGAGTTACGGATTTATAGTCAAATCAATGGATTTCAAACAAAAAAAATTTATTCTAAATTAAATATTTATTTTTGGTGTATTGGATTAAAGGTGTAAAAAATGATATATTATTAAATGCGACTGACGGTATTTTGTGAATTTTCTATAAATGTTTGCTATTGATTAAGGATTAATTGAAATAATATATATCAACGCCACATTTATTTATTCATACATATGCCGATTTCACTCGCGAATTAGATCTTCTATTCGAGTTAATTCAGGTAAAAAGAATAATGTTGTACCAGTACGATTAATGAATGTGGAATATGAAATGTGTGAGGGATGGTTCCGTTCAACTTTTTGGATGTTCACTATGTTGATTTTGAAAAATCCTTTTTTAGTATATTTTATGCTATTTATGAGAATTGGTAATTCTTTAATTAATTTACCAGCTTTTAAAAATTGCATCTTGATCTCCGTTTGATTAAAATTATCTTCACTATGGTGTAAGTATCGTGATTACTATCATCATTATGTTTAACATAATCATCATTGCTATCATTATTGTCGTAATTGATAATTTTATTCCATTTTTCAAATTTATTAAGAATTTCAATAGATGTAGGTCTCTTTTTCATATCAGAATCAATACATTGATTAGTCAATTCAACATAACTTTTTGGTGTTTCTTTAACAAATTCAGGTCGCAATTCATGACAAATCATTGCTGTTAATTTTCTAATAAAATTGTAGCCGTTGAAAGGCCTTCGAGCAGTTGATATTTTATCATAATAATTGCAAGATATAAATATAAGCAGTTTGAGTGAATTGACCACCTTTTATTACCTCGGGAGCTATATATAGTAAAACTCTATAAATATATCCATCTTGTTTTTCGTCAAACGATATTGATAGATTTAAATCTGTAATATAAGCTTTATATCGTTATTTTAATAAAATGTAAATCTTAACGTATAAATGTTTTAGAATGGCTTAAAGAGGATTAGAAATGTTGTATTAATATTTAATAATTACGGGTAAGAAGTTATGCGTTGTATTTATATTAATTGATCTTGAGCAAATGTATTTTATATTGTGGATATCAAATAATAAATTTAATTGGATTTTCGCAGATCAAGATAGTATTGGTGTTAGATAGTACTGTAGACGGTTTATTATGCTTAGTTTAAAATTTGTGCTATATTTATTTAGTGTTGTATCGTAATAGGGTTAGAGTTTAGAATTATTGAAGGTTAAATTTGACGGGATAGTTTTACACATTTTTTTTTTGAAAACGTCTCGATAAGTGTTTGTGTTTAATAGAAAGCGTTGAAAGCAGATATTTGTTTACTGATTCAACATTATTTAAGTTGACTTAATTGTGGCTTGTATTGCTTGTATGTGATCTAGCCGTTAGTGAATATAATGTTATTTATTACGTTACGGAGAGATATTTGGAATTGATTTTATCTATTATGTTAAAGTTGGCTTTTAATAGTTTAAGATAATAGGTTGGTTTAGAGGTGTATGGTTGAATTAATTTTTTGATTTATGAATTAATATGATAACAGGTCTATCTTAATAATCAACTTTATTGAAATATTGTTTGTTAATTGAAAGTCGGTACTAATTATACAGTCGAACCTTCAAAACTGATCCTGTCAAACTGATAACCCGTGATAACTGATACAAAATTGAGCCACCATGTCCGTTCCTTAAGTCAAAACTGATAACATGTCAAACCTGATAACTGATACAAAAAAATTATGCACTTATAAAATATCAGATTTGACTGGTAAATAAATTTGATTTGATTGGCTCAAATAAGATTTGTTTAATATATTATAAGGATAAGAAATAAATTTAACCAATCATATTTATTTATAGCTTTATAATTAGTAAACTATTAGTATTTCAAAACTGATAACCTGTCAAAATTGATACAAAGCTAGTCACCATGCATATCAGTTCAGAGAGGTTATACTATATATTGATTTTTTTTTAGATTATTTTTGTTAAACATTTTTAGAAAACTTAAGCATTTTAATATTTATTTAATTAAGAAAAATTGTGAAATTTACAGTATTGTTATTTATAGAAAAAATTTGGTGGGGTTAAAAAGTATAATAAGTTTGTATAAAATTATTTAAGTATTTATATGTTTGGTTTACTAGATAATAAGTGACTATTAGTTTTGTCTAAAAGAATAAATGAGAAGAAAATCATGAACTTAAAAAAAATTAAAATAATTTTTAACTTAGTTTTATTAATGATGATGTTGAATTATTGGTTGTTCTTTATGTTGTTGGATTACCTTTATTTATTTTTGAATTAATGTGAAAAAATGTATAAATAACAGATTGAAGAAATAATAATATTTTATTAAGCCAAATAATTATTTAAATAATATTATGTTAAAAGTTGAATATGTAAGATTAAGAAAATTGTTGTAAAAATGTTTCTAAACCATTATTATATAGTGAAATTAATTGTTTATATTTAGTAATAACTGTGGGGTTAGTTTTTATATAAGAAAAATCAAAGGATATAATATAAAGAGAATTTTATGTTGGAGAAATTTTATATATTAGTAAAATGCTTTTTAAATATTTCACAAAAACTACCAAGCCAATTATAATATTCTTATTACCATTAGATGTATCTTGATAAGTTTTACAACTTTTATTAGAAGTGATTTATTTAATAAGAAAAAGTTTTAGACAGAAGTGCTCTATATTCAAGCTATAGTAAAATTTACTTAATAAAAATTTGCAAATTCTCTCTAGTTGAGTGGTGAATCACCAATTAATTTATTTATTTACTATCCACAGTGAGATATTACTACTTAGATTAACTAATAAATTTACAATATTAACTATAATAAAATTTCTTACAAAATTTATATAGAACATATTGTTTAGCTTAGCATTGCATATAGCATTCAATATAATCTGATTTTTTATATGGGTTGAGTCAATAGAAATCAAGCAAAGTTTTCTAAATAATTTTTTTTAAACTTTTAACAACGATAATTCAACAAAAACTTAATCAAATTTAATAAATTTTTTTTAAAATAAATTCTACAAACTTATAGAATATGTGTAAAAAATTTTTATTAAATTTGATCAAGTTTTTGTTAAATTATCAGTATGTGAAGTTTTAAAAAAATTCATGCAATACTGTATAGTAAGATACTAAATGCATTTTTTTAAGCAAAATAAATTTACTTGGGCAGCAAATAAATTTTTTTAATAATAAACTTATACTTACTAACTAGCAATTTGACAAAAAAATATTTATTTTAAAGTTATAATTAGCAATATAAAATCAAATAAAAATTTAGTAAATATATATTTACATTCTAATAAAAATATTATTATAAATTTATAACTAGTAGTATTTAAAATATAATAAAATTTAAGACAAATTAAATAAAGTTTATTATAAAATTTAGTGACTATATATTTATTTTCTAATAAAAAAAAATATGTTTTATAAATTTATAATTAACATAATTTAAAATCAAGTAAAATTTTAAAAACAAAATATAATAAGTTTATACTTATTCTAATAATTTAATAAAATTATTTGATAAATATTGTAAAATTTATAAAGCATTTTTTTAATAATAATCTGCAAGGCAAAACTCTTTTTGCTTATCGTCTGTACACAAAATTTTGGCACAATAATTTTTACATTTTTCTTAATTTACCAAAAGTTTTATTAAGTTAACAACCTTTTGTCTCTTAATAATATTTGTTAAGTTACTATTTTTACATATACTTGTAAAGTTTCAAGTCTGTACCTTTTATCATTCTTGAGATATTCGATTTACAAGAACAGACAGACAAAACTCTATTTTCTTTCCAAAGTTTTGCCCTCCTGGCAAACTGGGCTTAATAATATATTGATACCTCATAATTAAATTTGTAGAGCTCATCTCTGGCTTCAAAACAAGCTATAGTACATCAAATTTGACCTAAAATTGATCATTTTAGAATTAAAAATATCAAAACTCTCTTTTTTACTCTTTAGATTCTTAAAAAGTTCCCTTCTAATTTACCCCATCTAAATCGTTTTTTGTA